CAGCCCCAAGCCCCCAAAACCCTAAACCCTAAACCCCTAAACCCTAACCCTAAACCCTAAAACCCTAAACCCCTAAACCCTAAACCCTAAACCCTAAAAAACCCCTAAACCCTAAACCCTAAACCCTAAAACCCTAAGGATCCGGCTGGCATCTCTGTGGGAGAGGGGCGCTCCGTGGGAACTGGAAGCTCGCTAGGCGACTGCGTTGCGGCCTCGGTCATTGAGGGTTTCAGGGTTTCAGGGCTTTAGGGTTTAGGGTCTAGGGTTCAGGGTCTGGGGTTTAGGGTTTAGGGTCTAGGGTTCAGGGTTTAGGGTCTAGGGTTTAGGGTTTAGGGTCTGGGGTTTAGGGTTTAGGGTTTAGGGTCTAGGCTTTACTTGAGATTTCACAGCCCTTTTTGTGGGCTCCTTTAGGGCCCTTCTGTGAGGGGTTGGAAACCCAGGGTCCCTTGAAGAGTTCCAACGAACTTTCCCGTTGTAGTTTTGCAGGCGTTTCGATAGGGTTTAGGGTTTAGAGTTTAGGGGTTTAGGGTTTAGGGTTTAAGGTTTAGGGGTCTGATTCTGTAATGCTGTAGGGGTCATGCATCCGATTAAACCTGGCGTCCTGAATCCTGAAACACACCATCTTCGTTGGGGTGCACTTCACTGCCCACACATCCCAAACGTTAAACCCTAACATCAAGCAGGCTCTAGACCTTAAGCCCTAAACCTCTAATCCCAGGCCAACACGCCCGGGCAAGGAATATGGGCTATGTCACAACAAGAAAGTGAAGCCCGCGTAATTCAAGGGCTGCTCCTTACTTTATGTAGAGCTGAAGAACACTTATTAAAAAAAACACAAGCCCGCAACGCATGAAATGCTGCCACTGCGGTGGCAATACTGCTGTTTGGTGTCCATCTGTACTCTCCGAAGTAACGTCGTTCCCTGGGTTTAGGTTCGTTGGCTTCCTTACGATATGGTCCTCGCCGTCGCACTGCCAAAAAACGTAATTAAACCCTAGACAAAAAGCTCCGGGGGCGCAGGATTCAGGTCGTAGGAATTAGGAGTACAGGCTTTCGTCCACCGTTCTTGCCTCTGCCCTCGCGTGTCTTCCAAGAGAGGTCTTCCAGTGTCTTGGTATATGGTGGTAATTTACAGAATATTACATGATGTTAATTACAGAACATTATAGTACACTATGGGATATCATCCTGTATTTTAGAAACTGATAAATGGTATCCCAGAGTGTAGATTATACTGTCTGGGACAAGAGCCGAGCCCAGCCACAGGGACCGGGCATGTCTGTATTAGCTTGTCTTTGTAGTCTTAGGTGAATCACTTCATCCCAGATCTTCCAAACCTCTGCTGCACTTTTGGAAGAACCAGGAAAACCACAGAGCCCGCTCCATACAGCCCTCTACAGTCCTTAGAGAGGCCCCTTTAAATCATGCTAACCTGTGATCCAAGCTTTTGGACCCCGGTCCTGAACACAACCCTAAACCACGCATCGTTGTGTCTAATGAGTCTAATGCTGGCCAGTGGCTAAAAGATCCCCTTTCGTGAAGGCCTTAATACGCCTTAATACTAGCTCCTTCTGTTTATCCATTCCAAACAAATTTAACCCTAAACCCTAAACCCCTAAACCCCTAAACCCTAAACCCTAAACCCTAAACCCTAAACCCTAAACCCTAATTTCAAACGGTCGTTTAGTCACCCCCTTTGAACCCTTAGACGACCCTTCATCTAGAGGGAACGGTTTAGGGTTTAGGGTTTAGGGTTTAGGGTATTTTAAGCGTCAAACCCGAAGCCTTGAGGCCTATGAAACGCTTTGAAAGCAACATAAAGCCCGATAAAGTCCAACCGTAAACCCTGAACCCTTGACCGCAGCAAAGCCCTGGAAAAGCCAAACCCTGAAGCCCAAACCAGCTGAGGTAGGAATAGGGTTTGGGGGGGGGGGGGGNNGGGGGGTATTATACTATAATTATAACCAAAACACCCAACAATAGTATAGGCAATTACTAAGGCCTCCATGTTAGGTTTTGGAGCGACTGAGGTCTCGCACCGAGGACGACAAGGCTGCCGCCGAGGAGTGCACCTGGAAGATGGATGCCAGACAAAGGGTTTACATGTTGATATTATAATATGTGTGTATAACATTTGGAGAGTTAGATAGATGGATAGACAGATAGAT